CCTCCTCCTCCTCCTCCTCCTCCTCTCCTCTCCTCTCCTCCTCCTCCTCCTCCTCCTCCTCCTCCTCCTCCTCCTCCTCCTCCTCCTCCTCCTCCTCCTCCTCCTCCTCCTCCTCCTCCTCCTCCTCCTCCTCCTCCTCCTCCTCCTCCTCCTCCTCCTCCTCCTCCTCCTCCTCCTCCTCCTCCTCCTCCTCTTCGTTCACCACCTCCAGCTCTTCCTTCCCCGCCCCCCCCACCTCCTCCTTTAAGTGGACGGGCAGGTCGGTTCAAGGTCTCATCCCCAAGATGTCGGAGCCTTCAGGCATCAACGCTGTCGCTCGTTCGCACCGACGGGACGTGCTGGCGGTCGCCAACGACTTTGGGCTTGTGGTGATGCGAACCAGGAGAGAAGGAGGAGCTGACGAGAAAGCAGAGGCTGTACCGCTACCCCTGCCCTTATGTCGGGTCCAAACACAAGAGATACGCGGTACCTCCCTCCCTTCAGTCACCTGCTTGCTTCTCCCTCCGTTCCCTGCCTGATACCCCTCTTCCTCTCCTCCCCTCCTCTCCCCTCTCCTACCCTCCTCTCACCACCCTCTTCCTTTACTTCTCGTCCCTCCCTGAAGCCTGACAGGGCCACTCCTCACTCGTTGCTAACTGTCGCTTCACCTTCAACGACAAGTACCTCATTACAGTGGGTGCCAAGGTCAATCCTGCTCCTTCTCCTGCTGCTGCTGCTGCTGCTGCTGCTCCTCCTCCTCCTCCTCCTCCTCCTCCTCCTCCTCCTCCTCCTCCTCCTAACCTGTATCTGTCCCTGCACTCCTCCTCATTCCTCGCTCTCGGCTTCTCCCCTGGCATGGCGCAAGGGACTTCGATGGTCTTACGAGCCAACAGGATCGAGCGATCATGCAGTGGGAGCACATATCAGACTGAGCGTGAGCTGCTCATGTTTATAATCTTATGATGTCGGTAATGTACAAGGTTCTCCTCCCTGACCCTCACAGACCCCTACCAATCTCTCCCTCCTCCTCCGCCTCCGGCCCTGCCGCCGCTCCCTCCTCCTGCCCGATCACCTGCGCCATCGTATCCTGTTCTGTTCGTCTCGTCCAGTCTGTCCTGCCCTCAGCAGCGGCCATCTCATACACTAAGTTCGCATCCTTGGCCGTCATCGTGTCAGATCCTGCCGTGACCGCATGGATGTCGATCGCTGTCTCCGCCTCGCCCTCCATCCTCTCTAACTTGTCTCCTGACGTCCCTGCCGCCTCCTCCGCCTTTGCGGGTTCCGTGTAGATGAGCGAGCTGAAGGGCGTCCTGCAGATGGGGCAGAGCAGCCCCTCTCGCTTCTGCCACCTGCACAGCATTTCCGAGACACACTGAACGCAGAAGACGTTGTGCTGGCAGGGCCTAAGTTGAATGTCCCGCTTGCGATCGAAGCAGAGCACGCACATGTCAGCACAGGAGAGCTGCGATCGCTGGGAGATGTAGGAGGCGACGGTGGAGTCGAGGTACTCGCTCACGCCCGAGTGGTTGGGGATGAGGAGGTTGATGTCTCCGTGCTCCCAGTCAACATGCAAGTTCATTATCTTGGGCGAGAGCGACGTCGACGCCTGTGCCAGGTGTATCCTGCCCTTGGGGACGTGGCGAAGGGTCTCGAGGATGATCTCTGCCCTCTTCCTCGTCTCGAAGCTCACAGGAACCACGAAGCCCGGATGAGCGGGAAGGTCGTCAGTCTCATCCTCAGCCCGCAGCACCAGGTCTCGTCTCCTCCCCCGATACATGTGATTGAACACGCAGAGACAGAGGAGCGAGAGGAAACAGAAGGACAAGACTCCAACAATCACCATCATCATGTCCCCATTGCCCAGTAGACATGTTGAGGAGGAGCAGATGCAGTCGACCGTGAGGTCAAGCATGAAGCCTTGGGAGTGATCAAAAGGAAAACCACCCATCCTTTTGCTGGAGGTATAGAATCCGCCTTACTCACCTTCTCGCTATCCTCTCCACTTCCTTGCTGTGCTTGCATGTTGATAGCAAAGATGGTGTTGTTGTACACAAGTGGTGACTGTAAAGGCGACGAGGCAAGAAACCAGTCTGACTTTGTCCCCCGCACAATTATATAGTTTTCGGTCGCGTGGTACCAGCCTGTGCAACCTTCGCATAAGGTGACGTTCTTGATTGAATATTTCCATTCAGGAAAGAGTGCGTCGAAAAGCCTTCGATCTTCACCTGTTGGCATGGAATTGCCCGAGTGTTTCCCAAGAGGAAAGCAAACAAACCGACAAGAGAAAATCGAGCCTGCGCTTTCATTCCTGCAGGGCCGATGCGTTACCTCTCGACTTGATGGGACATATCAGCTCGATCAGTCATCTGATGTAATTGTAAGTGTCATTTTTGAGGTAATCTCAATTTGTTCGCAGTTTTGCAAAACAGGGAAGGGGTGTTGGTGGATGTGGAGGAGTAGGTGGTAGCTGTTATGAGTGAAGGTGGCAGTGGCGTCAGCGGCGGAGGAGGAGAAGGACGAGTAGAAGCTGGCGAAAGATGTGAAGCCTTCAGTTGAGCGATGTTAGAGGAGGAAGAGTTCGTAGAACCAGCAGCAGCAGGAGCTAGGGAGGGCAGGGGGGACGGGAAGCATGGCGGTAATCCAGTTTATATGCCACAAAGTGCAGGGTGAGGGGTTCGTGAGAAACGAAGGGTAGGGTACTTGAATGGACCCCATCTAAACAGACAAAATCAGAATCCTCCCCATATCAGGGGGTGGTATCGTCAAATACACCGGTGCCTGGAAAATAAGATGGGTAGGGCTGAACTACCCCCTTCATAATCATCGATCAAAAGCTATGAATCACCCCTTCATGAACACCCTATCGAAACCCACAAGGAAATGCCACCGGTGAAGAGATAACAGGTAGGTAAGGGTACTGATTTGTTAGCAGATCGAACGGGGCCGCTACGTGATGGGGGGTAGGGTCAGAATGGGGGGGTAGGAATCAGCGTTAGGATACATGGTACGGGTCACATGCGATTCGGCAAAGTACGTACTTGGAACCCAGGGAGGGGTAGTACCATTGATACGAAAAATGGGGGTAGGGGTGAGGCCATAAGCTAAATGAATGGGTACGATTCCCATTGAGACCAGGGGTAGTCTGCCGTAATCTGGGGAGTGATGGTGGGGTAGGGATATTGGAAGGGTAGGGGTGGGCTGGGCCATTATGAGGGTCACAAACTCAAGGCTCTTCATATTTGTACTAGGACGGGTAGGGTGAACTACCCCACCAGTCATTTTCCAGTGATTACATATTCTGAACAGGGGTATCAGTTGAAAGGTTGAGTTTTAAGTGTGGGGGGGTCATTCTTTCTTTACTGTCAGCGTAGTCTCAAAAGCCTACAAGTGCAGGCAGGTGACGCCCCCGGCCCCTCCGATGTCCGTGACTAACTGACTAATGACTCAGTGACTCAGTGACTGTGAGCACCCGGCGGCAGTCACGGTGGCAACTTCTCAAGGCCCGCCCGGCCTGTCACGAGTCAACTTGGCTTCAACGTTCCGAGTTCCGCAGCCCGGCGCGGGGCCTGCGGCGCCCAGGCTGCTGACAGTGCTGTTCACTGAGTCAGCAGTGCCGGGTCACGGGCCAGGTGGCAGTACGGTCCCGGCTCCGGGATCATCGGCGCCGGACCGTTCCGCCCAAGTTCCGGGGCCGACGGCGCACGGTTCCGGGTCACGCCGGGGTCACGGTGGCAAGACCTGCCGCGCGTGACCCGGCTCGGAGGCCGCCGCCCGGCGACCTGGCACTAACTCGGCCGGGCCGCGCGGCCGGGCGCCGCCCGGGCCCCGGGCCGAGCCTCCGCCTCAGTATCATATCGCCAGCCTCGGATGATCCCGGGCGCTGCCCGGGCGGCCCGGCCGCGGCGCCCCGGGCCCAGCAGCGGCCGGACCCCCGGGCCCCGTGACGGTGACGGTGGGCGCTGTGTGCTGCTCGCGGTGACTCCGTCCGCCGGGACTCGCAGCGGCAGGCACTCGGATCGGAAGAGGCTGGGCAGCAGAGCCTCACTGCAGCGCCCCGGCGGTACTACCGGTAGGCTAGTAGCCTACCGGTGCCGGGCCGTGACTCTCAGTCTGAGTAGCCTGTTAGTAGTGACTGGAGTGACAGCCGGCCGGGCTGCCGCTGCCGGCGGCCTAGGGGAGGGGGAGGAGCCCGGGGTAGGTGGTGGGGTATTTCGAGGGAGAAATACCGGTAGTGCCGCACGGTCGCTCATCTCCGGCAAGTGCCAAATCGGGCGATAGAAACAGAAATGCTGGGGGGTGGTCAGGATTAGGAAGAGGGAGGGGGGGGGGTAGTGGTACATGTACCAGGTAGGCAGTCGAGCTAGAAGGAGGGGGTGATAAAGGGTGGATGGTAGAAGATGAGGGGGTAGGGGGTGACGGGGGTCGGGCCTGTGCAGGAATCCGGGGTGAATCTCTATAGGAAGGGTTGGGTAGACGCTGAGAGAGCGAAGGAATGGTGGGAAGGTTGAAGGAGGAAGTGCAGAGTTGTCTCCGCGTCAAGGACAAGATCCATGAGACCGTCCATGCTGACATCTTCTCTGTCCCTCATAACTCCCGTACTCAGTTCAGAAACAAATCCACGGTCGGCATCATGCTGCATGACTGCACTGTGGATGGGTTGGTGATCGGTGGACCAGCGTTTCTATCGAAGGCAATCGAAAAAGGGGATGTCATTGTTAAGATCGACAACAAGGAAACCTCTGCCGAAACAATCCTCAGCGACCTTGTGGGCTCAGACTTGCCCGGATCGACGGTCTTGCTGCATCTCAACAAAGTTCGGGTAATGACAACGAAGCTTCACTGCTTCACAGATAAGTCTGACATGTCTTGCTATTGCTAGACCGGGAAAACAACGGAGATTGAACTCAAGAAGATGTCAACAGAAACAATAGCGGCGAAGTTGAATCTGTTCGATCTCTTCACAAAGTGATCAACGAGGGTGGGTGCTGTCTTCGTTTCATGACCCCACCCCGCAGAACAAAGGAGCTAGCTCACGACAACCCTGCTGTCTCTACCATGATCGACGATTGCATTGAAGCCTGGACCGAGATGACTGAGAAAGAAGGCGAAAAGGACTTGGTGGTGTCTCGAAACTTCTCGAGTATGGCACCAAACAATGATTCGATTGCCTCCTCTTTTTCTGACTCACTTCATAGATATGCAGCGGAGCTGTCAACAACTCATCGACGAATTACACGAGAGATTGAAATCTTTGATGGAGATAGGTTCTGAGATAGAAGGTCACCAGAAAGACTTTGAGTCAAAGAACATCAAACTCGAGCAAGGTAGCCATGTCATGATGGTGTTGTGCTGCTGACACTTGAGCAAGACATCAAGAGTCTGACCCTGGACAACCAACACCTCACAACAGAAGCCGAAGATCTCAAATCGAAGATCCTCATGCTCCAAGGGAACATCAGCCAGTTTGAAGAGAAGCTAGCCAAAGAAACGGTGACCGGATCTCAAGACACGTCGGTTGTTCATCAATGACCCTGCTTGATAGCGAGAAAAAGAAACTTGCATCGTGGAACTGAAATCTATTTCACAAGAGGTTTGCAAGGAGAGGATGTTCTGAGATCGGCTAACTTCATTTCAGAATGATTCCAAACAACCCATTATTACCCAGCTAACAAAAGAAGTTGAAAAAGCCAAAGGTGATCCAAATCTTGCATGTAGAAAACTTCTTGACCTGGAAGTGGAAAGGTTTGAACGGTCTGTTGAGCCATCAATCCTCTACTATCCGAGAGCAAATGCTGCAGTGCTCTGCAGAAGTTGCGCATCTCGTTGAAGAACTGTCTTCTCAGAAGGTCTTCGTCGTGAAATTTTTCTAATTTGCTCATACCGGTAACAGTCAATGTCCGAAATGCGAGACGAACAGTTCAGACAAGCTGCAACGGAGCAAGACAAGTTGAAGGCTCAAGTATAGCAGAAAGTGATTTGGTGGCGTGCTGATGTCACATGCCAGCTTCTTGATTTGAGGGGAAAGACTAAGGGTGTTGAAGCTGACAAAGAGGCGTTGAAAGGTGGATATTGAATGATAGAAGAGGTGTATATCTCATTGGAATCTTCAGATGAGCTCGAACGGCTGAAGGAGAAACAGGAAAGTCAGATCGAATCGCTGCAGGTGTCACATGCCGCTGGCTCCATGGCTTGACGCTCTTGTTGTTGAAGGGATCGATCGGAAGTTTGAAGGGCGAATTAGAAGGCCTCAGAGCAGTCAAACATCAACAATCGTTAGATTTCAAGTCACTCCAAGGTGCTGCATTGACTCTACTTCCCTTCTTATGCTCCTTCAGCTCAAATGAACTCCGTGAAAAGCAAATGCGATCAAGTGTCCGCCGATTACGACGCTGCAAGGCGGGAGCTGGAGGCTTTGAGAGCAGCGCTCGAGCAGAAAGAGTATCTGAATTGCAATCTATCGGTTGAGTGCGAGAATCAATCGCAAAAGATTCGTGAGATGGAAATGAAGGCAAGCTGCTCTCTGCCAGCACTTGAGCTTGCACTGATGTTGGAGATCAGAACGAGCAGCTTATCAGAGAAAACACCCGGAGAGTGAAGGACTGCGAGGAGCAGAGCTTGGAGATTGATGCTCTGAGAAAAGGCAAGACACAGCTACAGGGTCTCCTCGAGTCGTTGAGGACGGAGAACAGTCGCCTGATCGTAAGCAGCTGACGCTTCCTGCTCCTCTCGCCTGTTGCCTCATGACCACTCGTTTCTTGCCAGGGCGAGAACGTGAATCTGATGGAGCGATACCACACAGAGAAAGCGCTCCGAGCTGACGCGACCGACCGACTAGCTTCTTTCTCCTCCTCCTTCTCCGACATCCCTCAGGCCATCAACGAGGTCCTGCTGCAAGTCAGGGTCATCAAAGAGGAGCAGCTGTACCTGCAGGCAAAAAGCATCAGGGGTGGGAGGAGACCTGAACGTGTTGTAGGACGTGTTCATCTCCAACAACCTTGCTCTAGCCAACCAAGATGCTTCTTTGCAGGAATTCAAATCTAGACGAAGAACAGAGATTGAAAGGAACAGCAACTTGAGGTTTGCTATGAATTGTCTTACAACGCAGTTGTCGGCATGCTTTACGGTAGGTTAAGGAACAAGTGCAAAGAGGAGAAGTGATATGCCGTGTCAGATGTTGGAAAGGTTAATGTCAGACTTTAACTCTCAGCACATTCAATTCAGAGAGCTGCATGAAAATCTCGAGGCCACAAGAAAGAAGTTGTCTGCGACAGAGAATGAGATCTACGTTCTGAAAGAAAACGAATCGAGGTAGGTCACGAGGTAGATGCATGGGCATGACCTGGTGTTGACAGGCTTTCAAACGCTGTAGAAGACAGAAAGAGGGCCGAGTCCTCTCTCACGTTGCAGCTCGCGGACAAGGAGGCTGAAATCCTGAAACTAGAAGCAAACTCTGTGTCGCTCGAAGCCAAAGTGAACGAGCTGAGGTGAGGGCGAAGGCTGGAGGAGAGGGAGAGGACGGCTGAGCCTGTGTGAAGGACCAAGTTACATGAGCAAGAGCAAGAGCTGGAGCAGAGAAGCTCGACCCTGAAGAGCTTGGAGATGGACATGCAGGATACGACAAAGAAACTCGCAATTGAAGTGAGCGAGAAAGAAAGACTGTCACACGCGTTAGCAGCAGAGAAGGAAGCGAAAGAGAAGCAACTCGATGAGCTCTATGCTTCCCTCTATCAGACCAAGTCAGACTCGCCCGCGTCCTTCGACCTGGTGAGCAAGGGCATCGACAGCCTCCTGTTCAAACTCCTCAAAGCCGGCGAAGAGAACAACAAGCTGAAGGCCTCGCTGCAAGAACTCCAAGACGTGAAGGCTGTCAACCTAGACGTCAACCGCGACCTGAAGATGTCGAAAGAAGACCTGAACAAGATGACGAAGATGAAAGAAGCGCTGACGTGTCAGGTGGAATATCAGAAGCGAAAGATGGCTGAGCTGGAGCAAGAGATCTCGAGGATGAAGGAACAAGAATCCTTGAAAGACGCGCGCATCGACGAGCTGTCTGCGAGCATCAGCAAGGCGGCGAAGGACCAAGAGACGTCGAGAGCGGATGCGGATGGTTTGAATGAAACCTTGCAATGGATGGCCCGCGAGAATTCGCAACTCAAGGCAGCAGTAGAGAAGCAGGCGGAAGAAAGGACGGTGCTGGCGGCGACCTACCGAACTCTCGACGAGCTCTCGCTCCTCATCTTAGGCGCTCCTTTCATGGCCTTCCAGCCAGACTTGACCGTCGGGTCAGCTGAGAAGCTGCTGGTCGTCGACGAGTGGAGGGTCGCAGGGTCCATGGCGGCGGTCGGCGACCGGATCCTGAGGATCGACGAGACGGGAGACGTCAAGGAGGCGAAGGCTGCGAGGGAGCTGCTGAGAGGGCCGCGTGCGTCCTCGATACAGCTGAAGATGCTGAGAGCCGTCGACAAGAAGGAGGTCGACGTGCAGGTCACTCGGTCCGCTCCTGTGCTGGACAAAGATCTGATAGAGAGACTCGAGCGGGAGATCAGAGAGAGAGTTGCTGAAATGCAACAAAAAACCTTGCAGAATGAGTCGTTGAGAAAAGGTATCGAGATGCCGGGATTTGCCTGCTGTCGCTGACGTTCCCTGCAGCTCTCGACGATCAGTCGAAGACTTTGAAGAGCGAGAAGGAACAGCAGCAAGGGTTCCTCGGAAGCTCGCAGGCTCTTTACATTGCGATGCAAAAGACCATTCAACATCTGGAGTCAAACATTTCGAAGCTCGTCCCCGAAGTTGAAGAGATCAAACTCAAAGTTCGAGACGAGGAGAGGAAAGTTGAGAGGTTGCAACAGACGTGTGATGATCTACAAGGACGAAACCAATCCATGCAGAAGAAGTGCAGAGACTTGAAGTCTAAGTTTAATGCGTATGATGAGTGGGTGCAACATACCCGAGAAGAAGTTGAGATGATGAAAGAAAGTCAGAGAGTCGCGACAGAAGAATGGCTGCAGAAGATTGAGGTGACCGGATTTTCTGCTTGCCTTTGTTCTGACGCTTGTCGAGCAGAATTGTGAGGGGGAGATCAGGTTTCTGCATGAAGACATCTTCAAGCTCTACTCCAGCTGCCTGCTGAGGGAGCCAGCTGAGAGGAAGCGAGACTACGACGAGCTGCTGCGAGGCTTCAAGGCTGCGTGCGGGTCAGACTTGGGATCAGGCACCCTCAGAAGGATGCACGCGGAGCTGGCGGAGATCCGAAGAGTCTGCCGGTCGCTGGTGGGGAGCTTGACGAGCTCTCAACGTTTCAAGGGGGTGGGGATGATCGTGCGGACGAGCAAGCAGACGGTAATCAAGGAGCTGCTGCCTGGGGGGCCGGCGGATGAGAGCGGCGAGCTGAGGGAGGGAGACGTGGTGCTGAGCGTTAACGGGCGAGACCTCGCAGGACTGAGCGCCCTTGACGTCCAGCGACTGATCGTGGGGCCTGAGGGGACGAGCGTGTGTCTGCGCGTGAGGAGGGAGGAAGGGACGGTGAACGTGGTCTTGACTCGGAGTGACCTGCACCAGACCTCCATGGTGGATGAGATGCAGGAGGCGACGCTGGTGGCCGAGAGCCTGCGACAGGAGAACGAGGAGCTGAGCGCAGTGCTGCATGCGATCCACGACAAAACCAAAGTAGTGGCGGAAGAAGCCGGACATGTCGGAGAGAACCTCGAGAAAGCGCTGGAGGCCTCCAGGGAGTCGTGGAAGGACGTTTCCATCCCCCCCCGATACTGCTGGCCAACAGCAGCCGAGCCGGAGGAAGGAGAAGGGAAGGGAGAGGAGGCTGAAGAGTGGAGGAGGTCGAGGCTTCCAGTGAGGGAGACGTTGCAGAACACAGACAACGTGATCACACACCTGGGGAAGATAAACGAGGTCGCGCTGGAACTGATTCACCATGCGGCAGAAGAAGCAAAGAAGAGAAGCGAGGTGGAGAGCAGGAGCTCGGACCTGAAGCTCGCCAACGAGGAGCTACAGCAGGTGATAGCCGGCAAGTCCAACAAGATCGCAGAGATGGAAGCGAAGTTGGTCGAGCAAGAGCGCGAGTACCAGCGACTTGACAAGCACTTCACCACTCTGCTGGAGAACTTCACCAAGTTTCATTCCGTCGTCCTCACCTGCTCGCACCCAGGGGCTGATGTCGCCTCTAGCAACGAGGTTGGTCGGGAGGACGGAGAGGTCGAGGAGGGTGGGGGAAAAAGAGAATTCTTCTCCATGGATGACCTCCAGTCTTCGTTTCAACTCCTCGAGAACGCGGCTGAGCACAACCCGCTGCTGTCAAACCTCAAGTCGTGGATGTCTGGAGCCAAGACAGAGGCCAGAAGCACGTCACAGGTTGAGAGCGAGGGGAGGAAGAGTCAGATGTCAGGAGGCAGGCTGGACATGGAGAAGGTGGTCCTGCAGTTGAAGCAAGACGTCCTGGTGGTTCAGTCTTTGATCGCCTGCAGGCGTCAAGTGGAGTCTCTTGCAGGGGTGCTGACGAGCGAGCTGAAGGCGCTGGGGGTCGCGACGCCTCAGCTGCAGGTGAAGGCAGGAAGTCTCGACGAGGTCAGCGAGTTGTGCAGCCTCCTGACGCATCAGACTCGCTCGCACCTCCGACAGGTGGAGGAGCTCAGGCGCGAGAGGGAGGAGATGCACAAGGCTGCCGAGATCCGCAACTCTCAGGTGCTGACCCTGACGTATGAGCTCGAGGCCTGTCAGAAGACGATGGAGGTGGAGGGGAGGAAGAGCGAGGCGGCAGGAAGCGAGAATGAAGCTTTGAGGGCTCAGCTGCAGGAGCTGGCGGCTCAGCTCGAGCTCAAGCAGCAAGAGAAGGTGAAGGAGAGGAGGGAGCTGGAGGAGGAGGCAGCGAGACGTTGGCAGCTCTACGAGGACCTCAAGAGAGACCAGGAGTACCAGCAGGAGCGAACCCGGCAGTGCGAGCAAGAAGCTCGCTCGCTGCAATCCAAGCTGAACGCGGCGCACCAGGAGCTGATGAGCAGCCAGTCGTCGATCAAGAGCTTGTACGAAGAGCAGGAGAGGTACCGCGAGGAGATGGAGCGAGCGGTGACGGCAGAGAAAATCGCCAAGAACCACCTGTTCTTCGTGAAGAAAGAGCTCGGGGCGAGCAAGAACAAGATGGAAAGCAACCACAGGAAGGTGCTGGCCCTGGAGGCTGAGGTCGTCAAGCTCAGGCAACTCTCGAAGAGATGCGCCAAGTGCGACAGCAGGCGAGCGAACTCAGCAGGTCTCCAGCTGGGGGGAGAGAGAGGTTTAGGGTTTAGGTCTGACGGGGGAGGGCAGGCAAGGTCGGCATCGGCATGAGCATCACCGACAAGGCTCCTCATCGCATCACCTCCATCCTCCCCGGCAGCGCCGCCTCTGCTTGCCCGCAGGTAACTGATGCGGCGGCGAGAGGGAGAGGGGGAGGGAGAGGGAGGGAGGAAGTGAAGGAGCCGCAGGTGTGCGTGGGAGACGTGCTGGTCGCTGTGGATGGAGTCAACGTCGAGAAGCTTCCCCTTGTATGAGGACGCGCGAGGAGCCCGCGCCTGACGCTCCTTGCAGGAAATCGTGAGGAGGAAATTGCTGGGGGAGGAAGGTAGGAAACTCTTGTGCTCTTGATCGTTTAATCTCCTCGAGCAGGAAGTCTGGTGCAGCTGATCCTGAGGAGGACAGACCAAGAGGTGCCTCCTATCCCTCCTCCCTTCATCCCCACTTTCCTGCTTCACCTTCTCGTCCTCGTCCTCGTCCTCGTCCTCGTCCTCGTCCTCGTCCTCGTCCTCATCATCATCATCATCATCATCATCATATCTTCCGCATCTCCTATCCTCCTTCCCTCTCCTTCAATGCTGATAGCGAGCAGACATTGGAGGCGGTTGACCACACAGTTCAAGTGCGACGGCAGACAAAGAGGAGGGAGGAGGACAGGGAGGAGGAGGGGGAGGAGGAGGAGGCGCATCACTTGGGTGGAGATCAACATGCTGAGGGGAGCTAGTAAACTTCTTGTCTGTCGGCAACGTATCTGAGTCTACAAGAGCACGTAGGGAGCTGAGACGACAAGCGGGATGGCGAAGGCAGCGCGAGAGATGAAGTTCTGAGAGAGGAGAGGCGGAGCCAGTTAGGAGTAACAGAGCGCAAGGAGCATGGCGGGAGCAGCAGCAGAGCAGGAGGAGGAGGAGGAGCGCGAGCGCGAGCAGGAGCAAGTTGGGGAAGGGGGGGGGTTCAGGAGCAGCAGAAGGGGAGGGGGGGAGGGTAGCAGAGCGAGCAGTAGGAGCAGCAGGGGGAGGGAGAGCAAGTGAGCAGCAGGGGAAGGAAGGGGGAGGAGCGGGAGGAGGGAAAGAGCTGGAAGCACTGAGGGGAGGAGCGGGAGGAGGGGAATGAAATGACCTGACCTGCTGCATGGTCATCCATCCGAGGAAGCAAGTGAACCTGATGGCACATGACATGCGAGTCACTTGAGAGTCACGTGAGCGCATGTGAGAGGAGACCAGGAGAGAGACGTCAGAAACCTTCCTCCCCACTTGTGCATCATACGGATCTAGAGATCAAACAGAGATCAAACAGAGATCAAACAGAGAGTCGTCAAGCTGCGCCATCACAAACCTGCGAGTTTGTCCTGTACATGCCTAAGAACAAGTTCAGCTCTCGCTCCTCGTTCTCGCTCTCCCTTACCATTCTCAGGGTTCAGCGCCAAGTAGGAGAAGGGAGCCATGACAATGAAGCCGCCAAGAACCTGAGGAGCCGTATGAGCTCTATGAGGTCAGGAGCAAGAGGAGCAGGAGGGGCAAGACGAGCAGGAGGAGAAGGACGAGGAGGAGCAGGAGATTACCACGAGGCCGCTCCATGCATGCCAGGTGACATTGTGTGGTCTGCCGAACTTGTCCTTGTTGGTGTAGATCACATACCTGCCAAACCTTCAGACCATTCGAGCTTACTCGATTCTCCTCCTCCTCTTCCTCCCCCTCCCCCTTCTCCTGCCCCTGCCCCTGCTGATGCTTCCTCGTCCTCGTCCTCTGCCCTGGTCGTTATTCGTCCTCTCTGCTCTCACCATCCGAAGGAGGCTAGGAGGGCAGCGAGGGTCATGACGTAGCCGTGGATCTCCGTGTTGGTCTTTCCCCCCACCTTCTTGATCAGCGCCGCGTTGCCGCTCATGCCCACGTAGGCGAAGATCATGGCGGTCGGGTGCCACGAGAACCACTTCCACCCCTGAGAGCGCGTGAGAAAGCGAGAGAGGATGAAGCAGGAGAGAAAGAAGAATGAGAGAAGAGAGAAGGAGGAGGAGGAGTTGACGACTTCACATTGTTGACAGTGCCTATGTAGATGGATGCGATGACGCTGAAGACAACGAGCACGGGTCCGAGAACTTTGAGCTTCTGCTCTGCCTGCGAGCTCATCACGTGTTCCTCCAGCGTTCCTGCTGCAACGTCCGATCAAGACTCACAAGCCGTCCTCCCTCCCTTTCCTCCCTCTCTTCCTTCCTTCCTTCTTCCTCCTCCCCCTCCCGCTCCTCCCGCTCCTCCTCCCTCCCTCTTCTCCTTCACCTTCTCCCCTCCCCTCCCCATTCCCCATCAAAATTGTTTGTTTTACTACTAGGAAAAGTGTAAAAGACTTTAAAAATAGTTACGCTCATCGTAGCTGCTGCTGCTGCTGCTGGTGGTGCTGCTGCTGGTGGTGCTGCTGGTGCTGCTGCTGCTAGTGCTGCTGGTGCTGGTGCTGCTTGACCTACAACTCGTACACTCGCTCGTCCCATATCAATGTTCCTTGCGCCTCCATTAGCTTCGCCGCTTGAAGGTCCTGCAGGTCCAGCCGGATGATCCAGCGACCTTGGCGGAGGTCGGACGGGAGGCTGAGATTCATGGCGACCGTCTCCTCGCGCTCAAGCGGCAGGATAGCGAAGTGCCACATGTGTCCAGCCTTGTACGGCTGCTCCTCCGGCGACGGCGCGTGCACGGAGATCTGATAGCCCACGCCCGGCACGAGCCCCTCGAGCTCCAGCTCGATGATGCGGAAGCCAGCGAGGGACAGGAGGCGAGGGCGGGGAAGGAGACGAAGCTTGGAGAGGTCGCACGGGATCTTGAAGGCTGGCACCAGACATGACCCGATCGTCGCCTTCCCCTTCCCTGCCGCGTCCTGGCGCAGGACCTCGTCCTGCAGCAGCCGCCGGCCGTGTGTGTCTGGAGGGCCCCAGTCGGTGTACTCAGGGCGGGGGGAGATGGAGAAGAGGCGGAGGGAGATAGAAGGGTCCTCCAGCCAGTAGGAGACGTGAACAAAGAAGGCACCCGGGAGGACAACAAAGCTGTACCCCAACCTCGCCGCCTCGAAGCCGATGCTCGCTTTGTCCCACCCCCAGTGCACGAAGCGATCGTCGTAGATTCCTGCCCCATGCCTCCCCTCCCATGCGCTCCGATTGACGACGAAGTAAGGCTCGTAGCCCACCACGTAGCTCACCTCGTACACCTCCTTCTCCTCCATCCACCTGTCGTAGCTCGTCGGAGCGTGAAAGACGCCATCCTCCGACCAGCGAGACGCGAGGGTCCACATGCCGCATCGCATGCCCGGGATGTGAACGCGGCAGTGAATAAAGTGCTCGATGACGTCAGCGACGGTGACCGGGTGAGTCGTGACCTGAACCTGCGTGGTGTTGTTGCCCCGCTGGATTTCAGCGACGGGGGGCCAGGAGCTGCTGCCCTTGAAGGAAGGAACGACGAGCAGGTCCTTGGGCTTCAGCCTCGTCCCCTCGTAGACCTGCCTGATGTGAGAAGCGATGTCATCGGACGCGATCATATCGACGTCGGTGTAGAGGATGAGGTCGGTCTTGGCGATGGAGCAGGCGATCTTGCGCAGCATGTTGATGGGGAACACGAGGATCTTGAGCGGATCCTCCCGGTTGGGGCACACGGAGAGCATGACAGCCTCGAGCGACTTGTTGCGGGAGGAGAACCAGGGACCCAGCGAGTCTGCGACGTACCTCCGCAGGTCTCGCTCGTCCTCAGGGCTCCGCGCGTAGAAGGCGACCGCCATGTCCTCCTTCCAGTGGGCAGCAGTGTTCATCAACACCGTCGCTCGATCCACTGTGGAGATGGTGGCCATGGTGACAGTCAGAGGATGAGGAGGAGAGGAGTCAGCGCGCATGGCGCGAGCGAAGGGAGAGTTCGAGTAGGAGATGCTGCCCTGGAACAGCTGGCGACCCGACGAGGACCAGAGGTAGGAAACTTGACAGGGAGCGACGGATGCGATCATCTTAGTTGTCATGGCCACAATCGACTCATCCGCTTCCTCCCGCGCAAAATCGTCAAAGAGAGTCGCGCGGATGAGAAAGTTGCCGGGGTAGAAGGAAGCGATGTGGTACTCCAGTGGCTGCTCGTCCCCTAGGCGGACGATTCTGTTCTCATGGAAGACGATTCGCAGCAAGTCCTTGAGGACTATCTGCACCTGAACCTTGTACCTGCAGCCCTCCTGCAGCCCGTGAAATGAAACCGACAAGACGAGAGGCTCCAGCGCATGGATCTGCTTCGGGAGAGCGTTCAGAAACACGCTGCACAAGACTTCATCCGGGTGAGGTCGCACTCCTACACCGGATCTGTTCGGTGCTGATGCTAGTGGAGAAGGCGATGGAGGAGCAGAAGCAGGAGCAGGAGCAGGAGCAGAAGCCACAGGAGAAGGAGAAGGAGCAGAAGCAGGAGCAGGAGAAGGAGAAGGAGCAGGAGCAAGAGAAGGAGCAGAAGCAGGAAGGAGAAGATGATGAGTTGCAGACTTGTTGTCTTGCCTCTCCGGCATGCGGGTGGTGACATCCTCAAGTCTGCACGAGTGATCCTTGAGGTCGCACAAGCGCGTCTGCAATCGCTTGTGCAGCTCGAGCACTGTGCGCATGTTGGAGGAGGTGGAATCTGACAGAACGAGGACAACGAGCAGCTCTTCCCCAGCTGGACAGTCCATGCTGATGCGAAGAAGCGGATCAGAGGGCAGAAGAGTGAAGCTGCTGGTCGTATTCATGCTCATGATGTCAGTGACCATGACGACAAGCAGCCACCTGGGATGAGGGAGAGGAGGAAGACCCCGCAAACGCATGTTCAAGGTCAAGTTGTGATGGAGGAGATGGACCTTCTCGAATGTCAAGCTTGGTCCTCCCTCTCCCTCCTCCTTCGCCTTAAGATGAATCATATGATCCGAGGCAAGCACCACCCGTGGAATCGACTGGCTGGTGACGGAGAGCAGGACCAACGTGAAGTGAAGAGAACCTGGTTGGGTCTCGTTGTGCGTGAAGGAGATGCAAGTGACACCAGGAGAAAGAAAGGCAGGAGAAACTCGCTGCTCACTGAATGAGAGCACCTCGAGCTTCTGCCGTACCTGCAACTGCACCACAAAGTCCGTCCACTTGGCGGGACCAAGCAGCTCCACCTCCACACGCAGAGGCTGGCCGGCCCAGAGCTCATTTGCGATGCTCCAGCGAAGAAGATTGGCGTCACCTGAGAGAGGAAGCGCTGCCGAGACAGGAGAGGAGGAGGAGCATGCGTGCCCTGCAGCTGGTATCGGCGCTATCGGAGCTTCATATGATGCTGTCTTGCAGGAGGAGGCTTGGCCATTAGGCGATGCACGAGAGACTCGGCGAGAAGGATGCTGAGGGAGAGCGTTGGCGATGGAGGAGGAGAAGAGTAGCAGCCAACACAACAGTGACCTCTGCCATCTCCTTCCCCTGCTTCCTCCAGCATCGTCGCCCATCATACATACAGCAAGTCTGCCTCAGCTCGGACTGCGAATGGGCGCACTACGCAGGGGGTTTGAAAAGACAGAGAATTTCAACTACCTCTTTTACCTAGTCTAAATCTTCTGTTCTTGAAATTCTGATAGCGGCAAACCCGCGCAGGGGGATTTGACTTCTTCCAAGGTTTAGTTTGCAAGGTTTAGTTCAGGTTCCTTGCATGTGCGAGATGCGCTCGTTGATCCTGCTCATGGCTGGTGAGATCCCTCCTGCTGCTCCTGCTCCTCCTGCTCCTGCTCCTGCTCCTGCTCCTGCTCCTGCTCCTGCTGCTCCTGCTCCTGCTCCTGCTCCTGCTCCTGCTCCTGCTCCTGCTCCTGCTCCTGCTCCTGCTCCTGCTCCTGCTCCTGCTCCTGCTCCTGCTCCTGCTCCTGCTCCTGCTCCTGCTCCTGCTACTGCTACTGCTCCTGCTCCTGCTCCTGCTCCTGCCCCTACCCCTGCTCCTGCTCCTGCTCCTGCTCCTGCTCCTGCTCCTGCTGCTACTACTGCTCCTGCTCCTGGCCCTACCCCTGCTACTGCTCCTGCTCCTGCTCCTGCTCCTGCTCCAGCTCCTGCTCCTGCTCCTCGCTCCTCGCTCCTCGCTCCTCGCTCCTCGCTCCTCGCTCCTCGCTCCTCGTCTCCCTCGCGTCCTCGTCTGCTCCTGCTCCTGCTCCTGCTCCTGCTACTGCTCCTGCTCCTGCTCCCCTGCTCCTGCTTTCTTTGTCATCATTCTGCTTTCTTTGATCCTTCCGGCCTACTGCTGGGCCTCGTGCGCTTCCTCCAAACATCGTCATGATCGTCCCTCGTTCCTGAAGTCCCTGACGCTCCTCTCCTTCTCATCTTCTCTCTCAGTCTGCAGCCTTCAAGCTGCCGCAGCGTTTCAGCTTCCTTCACGTTTGAGTCTCCGTACGGTGAGGAGCACAACAACTGCTGCTCTCTTGTTGTTCTCACATGATGATCAGCAGCGGCAAGCGTCGAAGCAGAACATCTGCATGACATCTCGCCGTCCCTTCATCGCGGGCAACTGGTAGAGAGACGGAGGGAAAGAAGCAAACATAAGACTGATCAAGGAAGGGGGGGGAGGGGGAGGGGGAGGGGGATTAGAAAGGAAGGAAGAGATGAAGTAAAGCATGAAGCCAGTCTAGATGTGAAGGAAGTGTTGTGTTTGTTGACGTGCATACCAGGAAAATGAACCCTGAGAGCATCGAGGAGGCGGCCAAGTTGGCTGCAGGTGTTGCGACGTTGAGGCGGTCTGGAGCTGACAGGAGGCTCAGGCGTTGTGGAGGGAAGCAAAGGAAGCAAGCCCCAGGTCTGTTCGTGCTCCTGAGCCTCCCCTGACCCTCAACCTCCTCGTAGGTCGCCATCTTCGTTCCCCACGCCTATCTCTACACGGTGAGCCTTCCTGTGATGTGGCGGAGGGAGGAAGTAACGTGGCGGCGACAGGTCGGGGACACGGTCAAAGGGTCGGACGTGGAGCTCGGAGCTCAGAGCGTCTACTACGAGGAGAAGGTGGGTGAGAGAGTCCGAGGAGGAGGCTGACGGGCCGCAGGGCGCGTTCACTGGCGCCGTTTCCGTCGCGATGGTGAAGTCCATGGGATGCAAGCACGTGCGAAGCTCTGCAGCCACGAGGCCTCGTGACCTGAGACATGGCAGGTGCTGTGCGGACATAGCGAGCGGCGAACGATCTTCAAGAACAGGTGGAGGCAGGGAGAGGGGGAAGGAGCAGGAGGAGCAGGAGGAGCAGGAGGAGCAGGAGGAGCTGACGGGAAAGCAGCGACGAAGACGTGAATCGCAAGGTCAAGAAGGTGAGGGAGGGAGGAGGAGAGGCGAAGGGACTGATGCAGACAAGGTTCTTGCGGAGGGTCTTGACCCCTTGCTGTGCATCGGAGAGTCGAAGACGGAGGCGAGGGAAGTCGCTGACTGCTGGAGCTGACACGGTCGCAGTACCTCGGGAAACTCAACAAGGCGATCTGTGCTGCCCAGGTGAGGAGACAGCGAGAGAGGAGGCGGGAAAACAGGAGAGTTGACGATGACGGCAGCTGAGCAAGGGACTTGCTGGTGTGGCGAAAGAGGACATGAAACGCGTCACTATCGGTCGCAGTTGTTTCTCTGCCTCCCTCGACTGACATCCCTCGCCCCTGAAGCTTACGAGCCCGTCTGGGCCATCGGGACTGGATTGACCTGCGATCCCGAGACGGCACAGGTCTGACTCGTGTGTTCCTCCTCCTCCTCCTCCTCCTCCTCCTCCTCATCCTCCTCCTCCTCCTCCTCCTCCTCCTCCTCCTCCTCCTCCTCCTCCTCCTCCTCCTCCTCCTCCTCCTCCTCCTCCTCCTCCTCCTCCTCCTCCTCCTCCTCCTCCTCCTCCGTCCGTGTCTCACTCGAACTGCAGGAG